TAAGGGTTAGTGGTCCGTGAGGATTTTAATGTCCTTTGCTCCGTACAGATAGGTTCTTAATTTGTCGAGAGCCCAAACAATCGCTAGCATTTCCTTTTCAATTGTCGAATAATTTTCTTCTGTCTTATTTTAAGATCTGGAAATATAAGTGATCGGTCGGTCTTTTCCCATTTCGCCTTGAGAAAGAACTACTCCGATAGCGGCATTTGAAGCATCTGTGGTTAATATAAATGATTTACTAAAGTCTGGGAATGCCAGGACTTCTGAAGACATAGGTAGTTTATTTATTTATTTATTTATTTGTTACAGTCTTGCGACTTAAAAGTACAGATAGGTATTTTTAATATATAGCAAAGTATGCGTATATGTAAGTTTAAATTTTTAATTACAAAGCTGTTTATGTTCCTAAAACTATCAAATAACCTATATAAATGTATATTGTCTAACTAGTTTGGTAGCTGGCGAGGCCTAGTCTCCAGTCTACCTTTAAATATGTACTATGTGCAGCAGACGGAAAGACCTTGTTTCCGCTCCGCGTTGCTCACGAGCTGATAGTCACGGTCGCAAAGGCCGAGTCGCCCTGACGCTGGATTCCGTGACGTGAGGCAGGCGGAAAGGTCTAGTTTCCGCTCCGCGTTATGGTCGGGCTGTTGGGCATAGTCGGAAACTTTCGTATGCTAGATCATTTGCTGCTTGGTCGGATGTAAAGGCCTGGTTTCCATTCCGTTCCGTGCTCTCCTACCTAATAGCCAGAGTTTTACAGTGATCAAATAGTTGTCTTTTAAAAGCAGCAAAGTTATCACAGTCTTTTACATGTGGCGGTAACTCATTAAAACACTTTAAACCTTTATAAAATATATTTTTTTTGTCTACCTCTGTTCTATAAAGTGGGAGTCTAAAGCAATTGTATTCCCTGAGTATATTTGAATGAGTTTCATTTATATACCGAAGATTGTCGCTCAGATAGTCTGGAAGTTTACCGTTCTTTATGTTGTATACGAATTTCATAGCATGATAGAAAACCTGTTGCTTAACACTCAACCAATTCATATCTGTGATCATCTCCTGCGTAGGTATATCGTAACGCTTATTTAATATGAACCTCATAGCTCTATTTTGCATTTTATGCAATTTCTCGATATTTGCGTCGCTTGCTAAGAAGAAGATTATTGGGCAGTATATAAAATGTGGTTCTACTATAGATCTATAGACCAGGGTTTTATACCTTCTTCTCAGATACTTACAAGATCTTTTCTTAAGACCAATTTTTTTTCGCAATTTTGTTCACTGTATGCTCAACATGCTCATCAAATTTAAGTTTATTATCTATATATATACCCAGGTACTTAATGAGTTTAACTTCCTCAATTTCTTCCTGGTGGTGGTTCCAAGATTAACTGCTCTAGTGAGGATCATGAACTGTGTCTTTTTTACATTCAACTTAAGTTTATTTAAACTGAACCATTTGTACAAAGAATAAAAGTCTTCTTGCATTTTAGTCATCGCAGTCTGTAAGTTTCTGTCACTGATCGTTAACAGTGTATCATCAGCGAACAGTTTTAACTTACAGTGCTTGAGTGCCATATTTATGTCGTTAATGTAAATATTAAAAAGTACTGGGGCCAATACCGATCCCTGCGGCAACCCAATACTGACTGCCACTTTATTTGACACACTTGACTCGATTACAGTTTGTTGCATACGATCTGAGAGAAAGCTTCGAAACCAGTTAAGCTCCGTGTTTTCAATACCAATGCATTCGAGCTTCTTAACATTCTTTCCCTGTCAATGGTCTCGAAAGCTCTTTTGAGATCAATGAAAACCGCAACGATATTCATCTTCGAGTTAAGGTCTTCCTTCCACTGGGATATAACAAAATTTAGCGCAGTCTCGCAAAAGTGTTTAGCTCTAAAACCTGATTGCTCCTTAATGAGTATGTTATTACTTTCAATGTGGCGCACCAACTGATTTTTTACCACATTTTCCAAGATTTTTTCCATGCTAGGCAGTGTATTAATTGGTCTAATTTCCTCAGATTTTACAGTTTTTTTTGATTTTTTTACCGGAACTATGGTCGAGATTTTCCATTCTTTTGGTACTGTTCCTGATTCAAGACTCTTATTTATTAATAAGGCATAAAAGTGTCCCATGTATTCAACTGAATCCTTTATAACACCGTCAGATAATAAATTATTTCCACCAATTTTAGTCTTAAATTTCTTCACTATAAGGATAACATCCTCTGAGGTAATTTTCTCAAATTTAAAGGTGCCTCGACTGTCTTCCTGTCGTAACTGTTCACAATTTACGTTCTCTATATTACTATTTATATCGACGATACTATCCACAAAGAACTTGTTTAGTTCTTCGGCGATTACCATATTATTTCTGTATATTTTTCCGTTGATGAGAACTTCTTTGATATTGTCTCTGTTACCCGTATTATTAAGAATATTCTTTAAATATTTCCACATTAAACGACTATCACCTCTATTATTTCTACCTTGTTTTCCATATAATGAATTTTCTTAATTTTGATCGTTTTCTTATACTCTTTCTTTATTTTGTTGTAATCTACCCAATCACCTGTGAGTACTGCCCCTTGGTGTAACCTAAACTTTTCTTTATTAGTGTCAGTCAGTTGTCTATCATACCATTTATTTCTAAGTTTAACCCGCCTTTGTACCCGAGAAGTTAGTTGATTCATACTCGAAATCAAACAAAGGTTGATATGTTCGAGCATATCATTAATATTGAAACTATTCAGGTTTGCAAAGTTGCATTGTCTCAAAAGATTTATGAAGTTGTCTGGGCTGTACTCATCCCAAGAAATTAATTCAGAGAGTTTATTGATTTCGCCTTGTTTTTTTATATTGCATTTGAACATTATGGTTTCATGATCCGTTATTCTATGTTCCTCAGCTTTTTCACATGAAACTTCATTAGTGTTAGAGTATAACAAGTCGATGCGCGTTTCGGACTGTGCAGTAACCCTGGTATCAAAGTTGATTAACTGTTTCATTGCCTGCTGAGAGAATATCTCATTAAGTTTCCTAATATATGTCGATGATATATTCATATTTATATTAAAATCCCCAATAATAATGGTATTTACCATGTTAGCGCATGTTTCGGACAAAATGGTTTCCATATATGTCAGAAAATCTGCATCACTCGAACTGGGTGAGTGATAGACTACCCCGATTTTCCATTTGGTTTCACAATTTCTCAATTGTACCACTATACACCAGACATTTTTATCAGTGGATCTATTTATTATTATTTTAAAGTCTATTGTGTCTCTCAAAATTACAATTACCCCGCCAGTGTGTCCACTATACGAGTCGCATCTAATAAACTGATAAGTTGGAAACTTGATTTCGGAGTCGTTTATTTCCCCAGTCTCAAGAAGCCTTTCAAGCTCGGCTTTATTGGCTATTATACTATTTATATTAAGATACACGCATTTTAAGTAACTGTTACGCTTTTCCATTACACCTAATTGCTAACATCTTACTCTTTGTTTCTCTAGTTTCAGTTTCCCAATATAGACAGGACATTCACGACTAAACTCTTTAACAGCATCACAACAATTTCCACAAACTTCTTTTTGGCTACTGTCAGTGCAACTTTCAGACTTCTGCTCTCCCATGCATTTGCTACACCTAAGCTTTTTGTTACAGGTGTTAGAGCTATGGTTGAAGCCCAGACACTTGTAGCATCTTCTCACGGTTTGCCCATCATAGACGGGGCATCGATCCCACCCAATATTAAGTCTCTTTGACTCCAATACCTGCAGGAAGAATTTGTGCTCAATTTCTATTATTGCACTGAATGAAGGAAATGCCACTGCGCCTGGACTTAAATATTTTTACACATTTCAAACTCGCATCATTTAAATAGCTATTCTGAGCTTTTATCTTATTTATTATCTCCGTCTCAGAATATTAAGCGTTTATGTGCGCTAACAAAATTTTAGGCGTATTAACTTTTTGTTCGGCGATGTCGTACACTTCCTTATTTAAGTTGTCTGCTAGAGCAGATTTTATTCTGTCCTTATCTGAAACGCTATTTGCGTTTATAACCACTGCCCCATTATTCTTATTTGACACTCTATCAATTTTCATATCAGATGCATCGATCTTATTAAGGTCCACCCTAGTCTTCTCAGCCGCTTGTTTGTTTTTCGGCCTGACAATTATAGGAGGAATACCTTTCAATGCATTGGCATACGATACACCCACACCACTTTCTCTTGGCTTATAGTTGTCACTTTCTTCACCTCGCTAATTATTTCTTGTTTTTGTTTGCATAGCTCACTAGTGGATGAATCTACCCTAACCATTTTCTCTTTGTTTACTTTACACATCCCCTCAACTCTTTTTATTGCATCAAGTTTTTCTTGGTTTGCCTTCTTTATACTATCAACTAACATTTTTACCTCTTTGCTGTGATTTTTTAACATTTTTTCAATATCTGTCTTTTGTTCTATTATATTCATCTTGCTGGCCTCAGCTATACCTATCATTTCTCTAAGAGCTTCATCCACATTG